TATGTATATGTATATGTATATGAATGCATGAATAAGTACATGTGTACATACATACATAGAATACTTTTTGCCACATCCCTTCCTGTTAGTTCATTGTGGCGCCGGCCGGGGGGGTGCTTGAGAGGGTGTCAAAGAGGAATGAAAGACGGCAAAGAAGATGGACGCCACAAACAAACTTAGAGGAAACTCGGAGAACCGGAAACCCTACAATCAACACCAACTGCGACTACGACTTCACAACGTCGGGCCATCGGTATTACAACTGACTCAACATCACTGAAGAAGATCGAGAGTTGTGTTTAGTGTGCAGCCACTCATGTGCTGGTTCAAATCCTGGGCGAGGCTGAGGCACCCATAACGCACCCAGCTGCCCGTTCGTGACTGGATGGCGATCACGACTAAACTCTGCTGACCAACAAGCATTCCGGGCAAAGAGCAAGACTGTGCATGTAGCCTGCTTCGAACAGGGCATGCTGCACATGCAGCTCGAGACAGCCGAAAGACCAGCACCTCAGCAAACCGGCCAGCACGCAGATGCAGATGTGGATGGTTGTGATGGTGGTGCCGATGCTCCCGATGGATGTGATGATGAAGAAAACATGGTACTGCACTCGTAGATATTTCTTTCAAAATGCAAGCAAGACCAGCCTAAGCTCAGCCATGGAGTGTTTATGTACATACGATCCAGTGGTACATGTTGGATCTGTTGGGCACTGTCGCATGATGGCATGATGTATTGGCTTGCTTTCCCCAGTCATTCGTTTGCCTCGCCCATGGGCCAGTCGACTGCACCCAGTGCTTCGAGCGTGGCGACTGTCCCGGGCATGCCCCTGTGCCCGTGGACCCTGTGGCTGCAACTAGCCACCTGTTTTTACTTCTTCAGTTCGAAGCGAATCTGACAGGATCATTGGAAAGACTATATGCTTGTCGGATATGACGTACCAAGGATCTATCCTTTGGACATGGGCAATGGGGTCCTGTGCTCCCTGCCGCAGTTTTGGTGGACCATGGACCAACTGATTCTATGGAAAAGAGAGAAAGGTCAAGAAAAAGCAGCTAAGAGGCTAAGAGCCAAGCATTGCCCGGCTAAACGCTTTGCTGGCTGATCCCATGCCAGGCCAGGCTGTTCCGGTTGGGCGGTGAGCGGAGTGTCCATGCCATCCGTGCCGGTCGTGGGTGCGTTGGGCTCACGACTCGGCCTGCGACCACTCAAAGGCTTTTAACTTGTCGTGGAGTGCAGCTTGTGAGCCCTTCATCCCAGTTTGTCTGTCTCATGTTCTCCTTTGTCTCCTTCGATCTGAGCTGTTGTGTGTTCTGGGCTCAAGCGTCCACAGCTCAAACCAACGATGGGCATCAGGGCGTCCTGCATCTTGGCTGCGCTTAGAGGGCTTTCGCCAATCTCGGAGTGGAGAGGTTCACCAAGCAAACGCTCAACTCCCCGGTGCTGGAGCCGTGAAGTGACCCTCATCCCTCACCCTCACCCTCACTGCATGGAGCCTAGGGACCAAAGTGAAGCGTCACTTAGAGGAGATCTCTGCGCTTTGTTGAGGCCAGCACTGTGGGCGTCTGGATGACCTCGAATGGCCAGTCGACGCTCAAAGAAATCTTTTCGAGCAAGACGTGCTGACGAACTCCACCTTTTTTTCAGGGGCTCCTCAACCCTCCTCCCTCCTGTTCGAGGAGTTCTCCTCCGCGAGCTCCTTGGGCTCTTCTCTTTCGCGCGAGAGTGAGGACCTCGAGGCCCGGAAGAGCTCCTGAGCTGCCGTCTTCTGTGAGCTTCTGGCTTTTTAAAGCCTCTCTCTCCCAGGAGGTGAGTCCCGCGGCCTCCCTTGTCGTTTGCGGGCAGGCACTCGGCCAGGACCGAGGGTGGGGCTGCGTTGCTTCTCCCATCAATGATGCCCATCGTCAGGATGTCAAGCGGTTCCAGTGGGTCCCACCAAAAGGCAAAGCACTTTGACAACGGAAAGATTCTGATGACGGAAGAGAGGGGATCGGCGTGTCCGGTAGAGTCGCAAGACAGGCTGGGATGGCCATGCTCGTGCCCTGGAAATTTCGGTCGGGGCCACAGCCACTGTGGCGTGTTTAGTCTCCGTGGCCTGAGACACTGGATGGAGGCTCGGAATACCTTCGAATGGGATGGCAGTCATCCCGTGCCTCCGCCAGGAGGCTCCGTCAGCCTCTTGCTCTCGCTTTGTCGGCCACGGTGTGCGGTTGCTTTTCTGCCAGGCCGTCCATGGTTGTTGCCTTGCAGTGATGAGATGGCGCTCAGGTACGGGAGTGCGAAAGTTGATGCTGTCGTTCTGAGCCGGATGGGAAGCCTCTAAGGATTGCAAGGCTCCGGAAACCCTTGCGTGCCGCCGGATGGAAAGTAATTACCTCGCCACCCCTCATTATCCAGAGCCTGGGCGACAAGGCTCGCTTCCTGCTCCTTCTTTCCCTCCTGTGTTCCTTCTGTCAGCTTCTCCAGAAGGCAAAGCTTCCGGGCTACGCCGCCAAGATTGGAAAGCTGGTGCCTCCTTTTTGAGCATGGCTTTAGTATTGAACTTAGAGCTAAGACTGTGCCTTCTGTCCGGTTCTTGCCGTGTTGCACCGGAGGACTTCCTTCCACGGCACTTCGCGAAGCCTCGGGAAGCAAGGTACCCCTGCGTATTGAAGCCATCGCAGGCCTCGTTGCCCAGGACAGTGACTGTGATCCAGAGATGGTGGGAATACTCTTCCGGCTCAGGGCGAGTTCGGCAAAGATTCCTGGATCTGCCAGACATGGCAGGATGTGCACCTTGGATCGTGGGATTCATGGCACATTTCGAGACTGGTGCCCTTGAGTCGAGGCACCGCCATGCCCCGGACTTCGGCGAGTCGGAACGAGAAGCGACTTGGGTGCTGCAAGAGCTCGTCCCCGGCAGCGTGGAGCTGTCTGTGTCCATGCTCGTCTCCGCGGGATCCATACTGGATGTGGTGGGCATGCGCTACACCTATGACACTTGGTTCACTTGCTGGCAGCACGTGGAGCTAGGTCTAGGCCTCCAGGATTTTCGGTATGGTGGCAGAAGGGCTTGGCAGAATGGTTGCCCCAGCTCAAATCGAGGATAGGAGCATCTACATCTGGCCCAATGTTGTCGAGCTGAAAAAGGACTGTCGAACGTTCACTGTGGTGGACTGAGCTAGTGTCGAAGCTTGGAAGGAGCTCTGCGAAGTTCCGACACGGCACATCGATGTCCTGGCAGCCTGCCCTGACTTTGGTATCCTTTTCACTTGACCAGTTGAAAAGGAAAGACGACTCACAGGCATCGCGCAGGACTCCATGTGCTGATAGCTGCGAAGGTAAATTACAAGTCACAATGCAGCAGAGCTCGCGCCTGTAGCGACGTCGCAGGGCCGCGTCGGAATCCGGTGCCCCTGCACAGCTTCGGCCCAACTCTGTCCGGGCTGCATGGGCTCGGGAGTGGCCAGCTATACATGAGAGGTTGCGGCGAGTTGCGCCACAGCTGTGCGTCGAATCCGTATCTGTGCAACACCCCCCCCCCCCACACAGCGCAGGGCCCCTCCCAAACGTTGCTGAGTTATCTTGCGATGCCTTGAGCACTTCATAGCCGTAGCTTGCCTCAGCCTGTGGTGGGCACTGAGAGAGTCTGAGGCCGCCTTTGTTGGCGAATATGCCACCTGGCTTCAGCGCTCTGCGCGATTCCAATCATTCCTAGCTGCCTAGCGATCCTGACACGCAAGATCACGCAAGGATGGCATTCTGAACTTCAACTACAAGATCCGGCCAGACGCTTCCTAAGCAGGGCAGAGCGTGTCAGTGATCCTGTGCTGAGAAAATATTGACATTGTTTGCCAAGGATGGAAGGATCTGCATCTTCGAAGTGCCGCTGTGAATTGCATTTTTCGGCCGCAGAGCACATGGGGCGTTGTGCTATTCTGAAGTTCTTCGACCAAGGAACACCCGCATCGGCGCAGACTTGGCTTGTGATGTTCCAAGGGAGCGGGCTCGGCAGCTGTTCTTGATGCTGGCCGGACCTGCATGTGGAGATTCTCTGGGAACACGAGAAGCTCTAAGCTTCCGCCAGGAGAAGATCCGTGGCTGAGGATGGCGACCGACTGCGTGGGGAAAGCGTGAGACTTGAGAGATGTTGTCATATAGGAAGTCAGAGAGACTTCGATTGATTGCAGCAGGCTCCAACTCTGTACAGCTCCGGCTACAAAGCCTTCCTTGACAGGCTCGAAACCTGAAGAAGAGAGATTCGCGCCTTCAGGCAAGAGGCGACCTCGTCGAACCTCTGCTGAAAAGCATTCCCTCCCTCGAATCCTTGAACATTCCTGACACCTGCATCTTTGAGAGCACAGTGACGCTTTCAACATTCGCGGGAGGAGATTCGTTGCCAATAGTTCCCATAGCGACCTTAGACAGGTCTGGTAGAAACTGCCCGTCTGCTCAAGCAGCGCGGCAGAGTGCACGACACGCTGCGGCGAGATAGTGAAGAAGGAGTGGGCGGTTTCAGAAGCCAAGCAAGGTCCTTTGTTTGGGTGCTCTTGCCATCTCTTGTCTTTTGCTACTAGATCAAAGGCTCTGCGCCGACGGCATGAGACCAAGCGATAGTCAGAGTGAGAGCGGACGACTCCTGCTTTCTTGGGCCAAGGGCCTACCCCTTTCAGAAGTTGGTGGGGAGCCCTGGGACGCACCTCGTTCATCCCCACACTGACGGAAGTTGCCACAAGACAGGTGGCAAGTCTCCCGATGTGCCGGTAGATGTGACCCTACCTCAGGCCTTTTCTCGTCGTTCTGACTTTTGTCCTCCAGACTTCCTCCATCCTTCGCAGGGCAAGAAGAGAAGTGGACGTGGCAAGGGCAAGAAGGACGGGTGACGGAAGAAGCGTGTGCTCGGCAGTCTCAGCCTCTCCGCATAACTGCCAGGATCACTTTGAGGGCCTCAGTGCCGCTCCTGTCGCTGTAGGTGGGAAACCACATTGCGGCGTCGCGGCGTTGCGCTGACTGCGCTGCCTGTGCCACGAGGCGAGCTGCTCGGGAATGCCGCCGTGCTGGACGCGCTGGCAGAGGCCTCCACTGCGCACCGCTCTCTCAGCCGCGGTCTGCGCCGCGTTCGTAGAGGTTCGCCGGGACGGGGCGAAGAGCCAAGTGCTTCTACGAGACGTCCTCTCCCACGCCTGGAGCCGAGCTCTCCGCCGAGCGAGAGAGAGTGGGGAAGGGAGGTGTGTCTCCTGGAGGTCGCCGAGCTGGCACAAGACTCGGAAGGGAGCCGCTTTTTGCAGGCGCGTGGCGACAGGGCTTGGGTTTCGGACCGTTGGAGTTTCTTGAGCCGTGACTCGGCAGGCAAAGTTGGAGACCGCCAACACGGCCGAGCGCAGGGAGGTCTTCGATGCACTGCTTCCGAAGGCGACTGGAAGTGCAGTCGGCGAACGTCCGGGCTACGGCCTCGCGTTCTCAGATGGAGATGCTTGCTGGAGACTCTTCCGGCAGCGCAGTTGTTCGTCACTCAGAAGACTCAGAAGACGACAACCTCGCAAGAAAAGATAAGCTTTGGGAGTGCAGGTGCAGAAGTTGCTGGACATCTGCACACCAGACCAGCGCAGAGACACTCGGCCAACGATACGACCCTTTAGATTCCGTTTCCACCCCAACGCAAAATGAAGAAGGCGACCCGAGCACAGACTCGAACGCATAAGCAAGCGGGTGCGGTCTGCATAGCCAGCGCGTAGCCAACCGCTTCAAAACAAAGCCGGAACACCTGGACCTGCAACCGCGACAAATTACGAAGCGAACGTGGCGCGGCCCACACAGGCCATCGTGGAGAAGTTCCGGCAATCAGTTGTGAAGCTGTCCTTGAAGATGCACGGCTGCCGCGTCATCCAGAAGGCTCCTTTATCCACTCCAAAGGATGATGGAGCCCAAAAAAGCATCCGTTGGGGAGGCTTTTCAGGTTTGCCCACCGGAACTCCAATCCATGCTTGCCGGAGAGTTGCGGCATGGAGTGATTGTGCGGAGCCCGGCTGCGGTGCAGCGCCACGGCGTATGGCGTATGCCATTCTGTGCCATTGAGAAGACAGATTCTGGCTAAGGATTGCATCAAGAGCATGCATGGCAACCACGTGGCGACTCCGGCATGTTGCTGCTGTATACCCTACTTGCTTGAAAAGAGTATTGTCCTTGTGCTGGAAGCCCCATGGCAGGTCCAAAAGTGCATTGAACAGATGCCACCGGAGTCGGTCTCCTTCGTCGTGGAGGCTGTCGAGGCCAGAAGTCTTGGGGACGGCGAGTGGAGCTAAGCAAGTGCCCCTTTGCGGGGGTACAGGACAAGGCAGAAGCTATGGCGGCGCACATCTACGGGTGCAGAATCATCCAGCGCTTGCTGGAGTGAGAGACCCGTGGCCGAGATCCGACAAAATGCGCAATCAGCTCGGCAACTGAATTCAAGGCACTGCACACCAAAGCGCCTGGAAAAGATGTTGCAGCAGATCCTCCGCAGTCACTCAGCTGAGTTGAAGGTTGTAATCGTAACTTCAACTGGTCTTGCTTTATTGCACAACGCACAGCATCTGAGGCATCACCAAACTGTCTACGGATCCGTACGGCAACTATGCGATGGGCTTAGCATTGTTGGCGAGAGTCCTTAGCTGCACCTGTTCGCAAGAGCTTCAGTGCAGGTCATTCGCCACATCCTTGAACATGGCAATCCTGAGCATAAGAGGAGCCATCATAGACTACCGACTATCATTTTCATCCGGCTGCGCCTACCTGCTTCCGGTTGTTCTTTATCCTATCGACCTACAGGAGCATTGTGAATGAGGTCTG